TACAATTACATAAATTATCAATCACGTACAATTACATAAATTATCAATCACGTACAATTACATAAATTATCAATCACGTACAATTACATAAATTATCAATCACGTACAATTACATAAATTATCAATCACGTACAATTACATAAATTATCAATCACGTACAATTACATAAATTATCAATCACGTACAATTACATAAATTATCAATCACGTACAATTACATAAATTATCAATCACATACAATTACATAATGACAAATCACGTACAATTACATAAATGATAAATCACGTACAAATACGTAAGTGATAAATCACATACAATTACATAAATGATAAATCACGTACAAATACATAAGTGATAAATCACATACAATTACATAAATGATAAATCACGTACAAATACAAAAGTGATAAATCATGTACAATTACATAAATTATAAATCACGTACAAATACATAAGTGATAAATCACGTACAATTACATAAATGATAAATCACGTACAAATACATAAGTGATAAATCACGTACAATTACATAAATGATAAATCATGTACAATTACATAAGTGATCAATCATATAAGTGATAAGTCCCTCAATAGCCCATGCCATTAAAAAAAAGTGTGCACACAACCAGGTTTCTGTATTAGTTACCTTTATTGGCAATGACTCAAATGTAATGCTGCCTTGTGTTACATAGAATGCTGCATATTGCACCTTTAAGTCTTAGACATAGCTCAAATATCAAATACAAATTTATATATATCATATACATTTAATGCATTTTAGCAAATATTTTACCAGTACAAAAGATTTTTGCTTAAACTGAAATTTAGCATATCCCAAAATGTTTGTAGAACAAATAATAAAAACAATTATAACGAATAGAGTTATTGAAATATTTTTTTTAATGGATTGTGACTATTTTTTAAAAAGCATAGACTTTTTGAAAATGCCTTTTTTTTTTTAAAAAAGTATAAATTATACCAAAATGGTATTTTCAAAAGGTATTTACTTTTTTTTATAAGAACTTTCAAAAGTTTGAACAAATCTTTTGATCATATGTCAAGATTTATATTGAAACTGACAAAACATATGACATATAAGAAAGAGGCCAGTAAATCAGTAGGATGAGAGGTGAGTAAATATTCCTCAGACATGTTTATCTAAGATTAAATAGTACATCACAAAACAGTCATATCCACAGCAGGATGAACAAAATCTCTGCAGGGTCCTTGAGCCTAAAGATTTTCCAGGACTATTCTTTCCTTGGTTAATTACTTTGCTCTTTGAGGGGAATTGTAAATGATAAAAAATAATTTAAGAAAAAATTAAAAACTTTTTTGTTTAAATAGATTTTGGATGACCAGAGCGCAGTGAGCATGCTAAATTGGCATGGATACCAGCGCGAAATAAATATCATATCAATAAATCTTAAGAATGTGATAATGAATACTTCCAGTTGCTAATATCTTTAAGAGAGAAATATTTAAAATTTTAGTGTCTATGACCATGTCACTGATGTCAGCCCTTGGACTTGATATATTGCCTAAGGCTCTGTCAGGCTTTAACCTAATATTCAATCTCAAACTTTAGTTAGCTGGTAATGAGACAACATTTAAAAAAAACAACTACTCTACAATGGCGCGCGTGAAGGTCTCAAATCACAACTCAAAAACTGTGATGATCTTGAACAATGAAATGCTTCATAATGCAAAAGGTTTTATTGCAAATACATTCAACAGTTGGAATAGTTGTGTTGCCATTTGTTTGTTAATAATAGGATGGTCTCAAAATAAGATTGCATCTTGTAGTAACGTTAAGGCCCTGCAAAAGCAGGATGCCATTTGATCACGCCTCTGGCAGAGAAGAATAGCTGTTCAAAAAATGGTATAAACATCAAATGAAAATTCTGGTTTATGGAAATTGTAATGATAGAAATGTCATAACATTATTCATCAGAGTGGACTTGTGCAATGTGGAAACAAAAATGCACAAAAATGTCATACAAATTAATTTGAGCATTTTTTGCTAAATAAATATAAATTATTCACTACTGGAAGAAAAAAAAAAAGGAGAACGGACAAAGCTTTTCTATAAGGCTAAGGTTAAAATAATTTTGTAGACTTTTTTGTGAAATATTTTTGTTTTAAATTGTGATTATATTTATCATTTAAGAACTTAGAACTAAAAGCCACACTACAGTAACATCATGGGGTTGTTTATTGAAAGAAAAAGACAAAAAAACTTCCCACATTATTTACTTTCTGGCCGAAAGAGAATTAATGATTATAGCAAAGCTTTTGAACTTGCTTTAACCTTGCTAAATCTTTAAAATCATATTCAAGCTTCCATTATTATTTTGACGAACAATTCCAAAAAAAAATCTTCATAAAATTTAAAATCATACTAGTACTTCCAATCATAACTCTAGCATTTCCAAACATAATACTAATACTTCCAATTATGACTCTAGCATTTCTAAATGTAATACTGGCACTTACAATCATAACTCTAGCATTTCCAAATGTAATACTGGTACTTTCAATCATAACTCTAGCTTTTCCAAACATAATACTGGTACTTTCAATCATAACTCTAGCTTTTCCCAAACGTAATAGTGGCACCTCCAATCATAACTCTAGCATTTCTAAACATAATACTGGTACTTCCAATCATAACTCTAGCATTTCCAAATGTAATACTGGTACTTCCAATCATAACTCTAGCATTTCCAAATGTAATACTGATACTTTCAATCATAACTCTAGCATTTCCAAACATAATACTGGTACTTCCAATCATAACTCTAGCATTTCCAAATGTAATACTGATACTTTCAATCATAACTCTAGCATTTCCAAACATAATACTGGTACTTTCAATCATAACTCTAGCTTTTCCCAAACGTAATAGTGGCACCTCCAATCATAACTCTAGAATTTCCAAACTTAATACTGGTACTTCCAATCATAACTCTAGCATTTCCAAACATAATACTGGTACTTCCAATCATAACTCTAGCATTTCCAAATGTAATACTGGTACTTCCAATCATAACTCTAGCATTTCCAAATGTAATACTGGTACTTTCAATCATAACTCTAGCTTTTCCAAACATAATACTGGTACTTTCAATCATAACTCTAGCTTTTCCCAAACGTAATAGTGGCACCTCCAATCATAACTCTAGCATTTCTAAACATAATATTGGTACTTCCAATCATAACTCTAGCATTTCCAAACATAATACTGGTACTTCCAATCATAACTCTAGCATTTCCAAACATAATACTGGTATTTCCAATCATAACTCTAGCATTTCCAAATGTAATACTGGTACTTCCAATCATAACTCTAGCATTTCCAAATGTAATACTGATACTTTCAATCATAACTCTAGCATTTCCAAACATAATACTGGTACTTCCAATCATAACTCTAGCATTTCCAAACATAATACTGGTACTTTCAATCATAACTCTAGCTTTTCCCAAACGTAATAGTGGCACCTCCAATCATAACTCTAGCATTTCTAAACATAATACTGGTACTTCCAATCATAACTCTAGAATTTCTAAACATAATACTGGTACTTCCAATCATAACTCTAGCATTTCCAAACATAATACTGGTACTTCCAATCATAACTCTGGAATTGCTAAACATAATACTGGTACTTCCAATCATAACTCTAGCATTTCCAAACGTAATACTGGTACTTCCAATTATAACTCTTGCATTTCCAAACATAATAGTGGTACTTCCAATCATAACTCTAGCATTTCCAAACATAATACTGGTACTTTCAATCATAACTCTAGCTTTTCCCAAATGTAATACTGGTACCTCCAATCATAACTCTAGCATTTCCAAACATAATACTGGTACTTTAAATGCCTAACCGGTAGAAGTATTAAAACATCAACCAATTACTGCAATTAAACTATCCAAGATTATGTCAGTCTGACTTTCAAGTTATCTTTGTGAACAGAGATAGTGTCGAAGCCTTTATTGACCTTAAGATCAATTTTGTTTGTACATTTTTTTTGTATACTTTTTTCACACCAGGTCCATGAACTAATTATTAAAGTCATTATTTATTTTACAGCCGGTCAATAAAGAAATATAATTCATCAGGTTTTTTTTAAAAATAAAAATTATTTACAAGTTATAATGCAACAGGTAAAAATAAATGCAGCACACAATTCAATTTTAGTCAAACCAAATCTGGTCTCAGAGTGATAAGCTATTTTTATCCTTACATTTTCCGGTCGGAAATTTTTTTCATTCAAATAAATTTTTCTTAAAAAGAAAAGAAATTGGGCTTTAAAAAAATGCATAATTAATTTTAAAACTAGGTGATCATAGAAGAATTTTTATAAATGTAATTTGATTTCTTAAATGATATCTTTGTCACATGTACAAAAAAACCTAACGTTTTTTAGGAAAATAATTATTTATTTAGGCCTCTTTGATAAAAATTAAGATGAGTGATATATTAATGTAAACCTTGCACATTTCCTCAGGTCTAATTAAGTCCAGATTAAAATTATCCACCAGACTAAATTTTTATTCCCCAAAAAGATTACTTTACTTAAGGATATATTTGGTGAGCACTGACAATGAAAGACCACATTCATTTCAACTTTATGCACAAATATACACAACTGAAATATCTTACAGCAAATGAAGTCTCCGTATGTAAACTTTATGGCAAAGTTTATCTACTTTTCTAATCGTATAACTTTATTTTACATTTGTCAAAAATCATGGTAATGATTCATGCTAAGCAAATCTACTCATTTAAAATGCCCAGCCAATGAGAACCCATTGTTCATCTTTTTCTATCTTGGCCGCAACAGTGATTAATTCAGTAGTAGCTGCATGAAGATCATCATTGACTATGGTGTGGTCAAAAAAATGACTGTAACGCTCTTCCATTTTGGCAGACATTTCAACAATGTCTCGTAATTCCTCTGGCTGATAAAAAAAATAATTTTTTAAATACATGTGCATTAAAAAGTATTTTTTTTTTTTAATTTAAAGGAGCTCTAGTTATAAATTAATTTTGTAACGGTTATTTTGTTTCTTTAGCTTTTCTCGGTTATTTTGTTTCTTTAGCTTTTCTCTGTTATTTTGTTTCTTTAGCTTTTCTCTGTTATTTTGTTTCTTTAGCTTTTCTCGGTTATTTTGTTTCTTTAGCTTTTCTCTGTTATTTTGTTTCTTTAGCTTTTCTCTGTTATTTTGTTTCTTTAGCTTTTCTCGGTTATTTTGTTTCTTTAGCTTTTCTCGGTTATTTTGTTTCTTTAGCTTTTCTCGGTTATTTTGTTTCTTTAGCTTTTCTCTGTTATTTTGTTTCTTTAGCTTTTCTCTGTTATTTTGTTTCTTTAGCTTTTCTCGGTTATTTTGTTTCTTTAGCTTTTCTCGGTTATTTTGTTTCTTTAGCTTTTCTCGGTTATTTTGTTTCTTTAGCTTTTCTCGGTTATTTTGTTTCTTTAGCTTTTCTCGGTTATTTTGTTTCTTTAGCTTTTCTCTGTTATTTTGTTTCTTTAGCTTTTCTCTGTTATTTTGTTTCTTTAGCTTTTCTCTGTTATTTTGTTTCTTTAGCTTTTCTCTGTTATTTTGTTTCTTTAGCTTTTCTCTGTTATTTTGTTTCTTTAGCTTTTCTCGGTTATTTTGTTTCTTTAGCTTTTCTCGGTTATTTTGTTTCTTTAGCTTTTCTCTGTTATTTTGTTTCTTTAGCTTTTCTCGTACTTTCTCAAAGTCATGTGTTTAAGAAGTTTTTTTTTATTGTCATTGAGAATTCTTCAGGGATAACATATCCTGTTCTGAGCTACATTGACTTGAAGGAGATCTTTGAGAAACATTTTTTTTTTTAAACGTTCCATGTATCTGTTGTTTATTGTAAAGTATCATCTCCTGGACAAGCCATCTAGCCAAAGTGTCCGCTTAATTTTCTGGTCTTTTAGTTTCAAGCGTAAACATATCTTTTTTACGCTATTTAATTAATGCAAGGAATGAGTAACTACTGAATTAAAGTCTAAAATCTTAGAATGTAGATATACAACTTACAGACAGTGGAGATGTAGATGTACAACTTACAGACAACTGAGATGTAGACGTACAACTAAGAGACAGTGGAGATGTACATGTACAACTTACAGCCAGTGGAGATGTAGATATACAACTTAATACAGACAGTGGAGATGTACATGTACAACTTATAGACAGTGGAGATGTACATGTACAACTTATAGACAGTGGAGATGTACATGTACAACTTATAGACAGTGGAGACATACATGTACAACTTATTACAGACAGTGGAGATGTAGATGTACAATATACAGACAGAGATGTAGACGTACAACTAAGAGACAGTGGAGATGTACATATACAAATTACAGACAGTGGAGATGTAGATATACAACTTGCTACAGACAGTGGAGATGTACATGTACAACTTACAGAAAGTGGAGATGTAGACGTACAACTTACAGACATTGGAGATGTAGATTCTGATGAAGTTGCGCGTGCATGTTTCTCTAGACGTGTATACTTCATTCTTTCCAGACTTGGTGCTTTGATGAAAATGATAAAAGGCCGAAGTTCTGCAGTACGGATGAATTTTAATGCCTGTTGTTTTTAAAAAAATAATAAAACATTTATAATTAACAGATTTTTTTTATTACGTTCTGTTTTCATTTCTAAAAGTTGCTTATGCCAAAATACATGACAATGAGATTTAATCTAGATGGACTGAAAGACATAAATGATGAAAGTCACCCAGTAAATTATTCTGTTTCTTAATTTTTTATTACATTCTCTATTCATTTCTATAAAATGCTTAAGCAACAATACAAGACAATGAGATATTATCTGGCTGGACTGAAACACATGGAATTATGAAAATCGCCCAATGAATTATTCGGTCACTTACCTGAGTGTGAGGAGCGAGTAAGCAGACTTTGCCTTTCTGTATCACATTTTTTATAGACTCAAGGCTTGTGCCATACAAATTCCCCTTGTACTCACCATACTCAACAAATCTGCTCAAAAAAAAGAATTTGGATCAATTTTCAATTTAACATTCAACAAATGTGATGGCTTTGAATTTGTTCACAATTTATATCTAAAACTCTTACTGCCAGCAGCTGCTTATAACAGTACTTGTAACCCACATGTATTACTCAACTAGTTAAGTAGCATTGTACAATTAGGGGTTACCATGCTATGAACAGATTATGACTGTACTTGTAACCCACATGTATTACTCAACTAGTTAAGTAGCATTGTACAATTAGGGGTTACCATGCTATGAACAGATTATGACTGTACTTGTAACCCACATGTACTACTCAACTAGTTAAGTAGCATTGTACAATTAGGGGTTACCACGCTATGAACAGATGATGACTGTACTTGTAACTAATGTTCCCTTTAAGCTGCGCGGCCGCAGTAATCTCACAGACCCTGCGCAGCAGTTTTGAGTACTGCCCAGCCAATTTCCACTTAAGTGTGTGTTTGTGTCTGTAGGCTGTAAAATTTTGCGCACAAAAAAATTGATGCTGTAAAAATTTGCACACAACTTTATGATTTTGCACACGAACCAATAAACCTTAGAGGCAACATTGCTTGTAACCCACACGTATTTCTCAACTAGTTAAGTAGCATTGTACAATTAGGGGTTACCACACTATGAACAGATTATGACTGTACTTGTAACCCACATGTATTACTCAACTAGTTAAGTAGCATTGTACAATTAGGGGTAACCACGCTATGAACAGATGATGACTGTACTTGTAACCCACATGTATTACTCAACTAGTTAAGTAGCATTGTACAATTAGGGGTTACCACACTATGACTGTACATGTAACCCCCATGTATTACTCGACTAGTTAAGTAGCATTGTACAATTAGGGTTACCACGCTATGAACAGATTATGACTGTACATGTAACCCATACAAAGTAACTGACCAGTAGAGAAAAAAAATGCATTAGTGAATGGCCTACAATTTAATGTTTTCAAATTCCTTTAACTTTTAACCAAATAATTTTTAATAGATGATAAAGTTCATAGCAGTTCTTACTTTTGAGCAATTATCTGTTGTTCCATTTCTTCTCTGCTCAAAAATTTGTACTCTTTGCCATCCTCTTCATGTGGACGTTTTTCCCGACTTGTATCTAGTTTTTTTAAAAGGAATAACAGTTCCACAGTAAGATTATAATCCATTATTGTTTTTTTTAAAAAGAAGATATAATGAAACTGAGAAAATAATATAACATGCCAGGGATCTGGAACCTATGGCCCATGTGCCTCATGTACCATACTTGGCACGCATAGCAATTTTTTACGGGCACAAGGACCATTATAAATGACTCAATAATAAATTTTAAATGGCTGACTTATAATTTATTGATTGGCAGGCTGAATGAATTAGAAGTCTTACTTTGGCACGGTTTAAACTAAAAGGTTGCAGACTCCTGTAATTTACCATCAGAAAATAATAAATCTATACATTTGGTACGTACATGGTACAACTTCCTCAAAATGATTAGGATTACTAGCCTTGAGTCTACGTTTCAGCTCATTTCTTCCAACACCAGGGGGACCTTTAGTCAATGGAAAAAAAATTAATTCAACATAAATAAAGCACACCTTTAAAAACAATCGTTTAATTCCCTCACTTGTATGGAACCAGCAAAAAATTATTCCGTTCTTGTTTCAGTACCAATCATCCAGATAATGCATCTTTGGAGGATTGATGTTAAGGGGGGGTCTGAGGAATTTTTTTTTTACTTTATTGACCACAATGAATAGAAATAAAAATAAAATAAAATATCTAATGCAAACCTGAAAACCTTTTGTGTAAAAATCACTATGAATATGATTTTGAAAATATGAAACGTATAAGCATAATGCACCATTGATTATTTTTTTTAATATATAAATCATTGAACAATTTCTAATTTTTTAAAATGATTTTGGTCTATACAAAGCATTTGCTTGGAGTTAGTCACTGGTGAAATATTACAGTGGATACGTTTTTTCATTCAACATTATAAAAGTTTTTTTGCACCCCATTTTTTTAAAGTATCATTCAAATGTATATGTATTTAACAATTCTACTTACCAATAAAGATAATAGGTCGGAATACTTTTAATGGATGCTTGGGACGGTATAATTCAACCTCTTCATAGGTAGGGATTTCATCTGTGTCGAATTCTGAAAAAACTGAAAGTAAAATTACATTTACAGTTTTAAAATGATAAAAGACCAGCATTGATCAAATTTGAAAGCAGTCCATTAAATAAAAGAAACCTACTTTTTAGTTAAACAGCATGACAATGAAAAAAATATATGTGTGATCAGATTAATGTTAACTATGACATATTTTCTACACTCACCGCCACTCTGTACTATGTGATACATTGTCTTTCTCAAACGCTTTTGTTTCGGAATTTTTGGACTGTAGCGGCATGGACTGATTGATCCTGTGCAATTCAATGTGATAAATATGATTTTTTTAATGATCAATTCATTATTTGACACTTAATGCACAATTTTTTTTGTGCAACAATATTTTTTAATTTAAAGGAATTTTTTTTGTTAAATTATTATCCTTTATAAATTTCTTAACACATTTTTAACCTAATTATCACATTTTTCTGAAGAAAAGAAAAAAAAGGTTAAAAAATTATTTCCAGTTTGTTCCTTATGTTGTTAAACTTGTCACAAAGATCTGAAGCCTATCCCACTGCACTAAATAATACATAAATGGTGGCTAAAGTGAAGATATATCTCAACAGTGTACCTACTTGGAGGATTTCTTGCCTCTCTTAGCTTCACCCTTCGCATGATTTCAACACTAAGCAATACAAAAGAAGTATTATTATAAATATCTTTAATTTCATTGGTGACTTGAAAAATAATCATCCTAAGCCAAAAAAATGTATTCATATAAATCAGGAATCCCCAACAGGCTGGTTCACTGTCATTAAGATAATGTTGGGGACCCGACAACAGTTTGAAAAAAATGTTATGCATACTGCATATATTTTATTTTGTAGTATAAAAAGCAATATCATTAAACCATATAGTTTTTAAAATTAAGAACTTTTTTTTTTTAAGCTATAGTTATTTTTATTTCAGGTATGTTTTTTTTTTTTTGCTTTTGGCTAATGAGGTGTCAGTATTCCATATTGTTCACTTTTACCCAGTTAATAGCTTATCTCTCTGAGACCAGAGTTGGTTTGACTAAAATTGAAATATATGCTGCATTTATTTTTACTTGTCTCATTACCCAAGTGGGCATTAAAGACCCTGTTGGGCAGAATAAGCCCGGTTGTCCATAGTTTGAGGATCCCTGGTATAAATTATTCACATTTATTTTTCCAAAATAATATACCTATAAGAAAAGTAAGGTGCACTTTACCTTTCTTGATAATGTTTACTTGGAACAAGCCGTGCACTAGTTAGGGTGCTTGCAACGCCACTGGTGTCTCCCACATGTTTTGCTTGCCACCATGTTGGATCCTCATCACTAACTATCTCTAGCACATCTCCAATCTTAAGAAAAATTCATAACCTCAAATTTAGTACATTATTGTAATAAATAGTTTAAGCCAAATTAATAAATCAGTAAATTGTAATAGATAACATTTTTTTCTTTTTGGGATCCGTCCGTCTTTCTTTGAAGAGTTGCAATCCAAGGTTAAGAAGTACCATCTACCTGGGGTGCTGGTGATGTTGTATAGCTTGACTAGATTTTTCCTGATGATTGAACTCCAATCCCTGCTTGAGACTGACCCAATTATGACAGCACAGCCATTTAACCATGTGGTAACTTATTACTTAACTTATTACTTCATTTAATGCTCTTTAACAAGTAAGACATCAGGTAACGTATACCTGTCAAAAATGTTGTCAGAGACACACGTATGACACTTCTGTCTAGAGTACCATTTCTGGCCACTAGTCACTTCAATTACTTGAAACTTCTAGTATTCAAAGTTACTAGTTGCAGAATGGTAAAATACAAAAGTGAAAGAGTAGTCGAATTAAAATCTCAAAATCAAAGAATGAGCGAGCCACTGCTATTGGCTTAGCCTACAAAGAATGAGGGTGACACTGTTATTGGCTTAGCCTACAAAGAATGAGCGAGCCACTGTTATTGGCTTAGCCTACAAAGAATGAGGGTGACACTGTTATTGGCTTAGCCTACAAAGAATGAGCAAGCCACTGCTATTGGCTTAGCCTACAAAGAATGAGGGTGACACTGTTATTGGCTTAGCCTACAAAGAATGAGCGAGCCACTGTTATTGGCTTAGCCTACAAAGAATGAAGGTGACACTGTTATTGGCTTAGCCTACAAAGAATGAAGGTGACACTGTTATTGGCTTAGCCTACAAAGAATGAAGGTGACACTGTTATTGGCTTAGCCTACAAAGAATGAGGGTGACACTGCTATTGGCTTGGCCTACAAAGAATGAGGGAGCCACATTTTGCTATTAGCTGGGCCTACCTTAAATGCTAATCCTGCTTCTCTACATGGGATGTGCTCATCTGTGGCCGGGTCAAAAGAAAACAAGCAACGAACTTTCAACTGAAATATTTTTCAAAAATTAATTTAATAACTTAGTCAAACAACAATATAAAATTCTGAATTTGTACAAAATCAATCAGTTTATTTTTCTACTTGCTCCTGTTTTTTTATTATAACTTTAGGGGTCCTTGAGGAGTGAATTCAAATTTTTTAAATATCCTAATTTCTTGACATTAAGCCAACACTTCTCATTTATGTGTAGGTATTTAAAAAATGAAATTACTCTTTCTTTCCTGGGAAAGTTTATTTGAAATTTTTTAAGCTCGTTATAGAAATCAATGTCATGTTTGATCTCGATAAGATTATTTACAAGCTATTGTTTATATAATTTGAGGAAAAAAAAAAAAAAAAGAAATTAGCCTTCCATTCAAATTTTAACAAATTGAGAAAATATTATTCATTTTTAGGACCTAGCGATCTTTTCAAACACTGATCGATAATTATCATATATAATTATTATCTGGTAGTGATTAAAATTAAACATTAACAGGAACAAAATAAACTTAAAATATTCCGCTTCATCTACCTTAGTTTTTCGTCCCACATTAGTTTTCATGAAAGGCACCAGCTTCAAAGTCACAGAGCCAGATACCTCAGACTGAAAAAGACAGAAAGGTTGACATGTGAAACTAAAATGAAAAACTAAATTAAGGGAAAAGGTATCACAGGTAACTTCACACACATTTTGACGTTTTTCCCACCCACGTCTGCATTACATAACATGATATTCTTCTTTTTCTACATGAAATAAAGACTTTTTAAACCACATCCTGAATACAGGTTACTTTATTCTTTAAGTATTTATTTTCATACTGAAATAAAATGTTAAATAATACAATCAGCTCTCACAAAGGTTGTCTGGACATTTCCTAATCAGAGCTGTGGGATCAAATGTCTGGCCATAGTTTTTTTTTTTTTTAATAATTAATTCTCAAGTGCCAGTTTGCAATCTGAAGTTGTGCTAACAATACTTGAGTTAAATTTCCAATGCCAGATTTTGAATTTATTTTCTCTAATCCACAAAGACTCTTATTTTCCACACATACAAGTAACTTAAACTTCAAATCTTTTAAATATACTAAAATAAAAATCATAGCCTTTTTAGCTGTCATAAAAATTCTAATTATTTTTAAAAAAATAAACCCCAAAAACAAAACACATCACACGACAAAACCTAGTTAACTTTTTAATGTAAGTCAACCACAGACGCCTTCATATCTTTGTCTGATATGGGTCAGGTAGAATAATTTAATATTTGTTAATGGGCAAGTTAAAGCACAACATTTTTTCAAAAATAATTCCCATTGTATTAGCGTGCACAATTTATATGTTTATCCTGCCTGCCTCCCCAAGGATGATATATGTTGTACAACTTGATTTATGCAAATAGATTAGCCTTTGCCTAAAGTGGCAGTCAGTGCGATAAATATTTCACAATCATTCAGAATATTTTTTTTAAAAATCCTCTTGAAACTAGCCTGTTAATAAAAACTTGACATTTTGCAGTCAAATATTCAAAAAATTTCAGTTACCGTTTAAACTTACTAGCATCTCGACTATCTTATCAGGGTGTAGACCTTTTACAGGTTCTCCATTGATTTCATGTATTTCATCGCCAGCACTCAGAAGTCCTAAAGTTTAAATATACAAAATTACGGTTTAAATAGAACATAATAAATAGGCATATTACTCTGAAAAGTTTAAAACTAGATCGATAGTCTCAGGATGATGATCTTACAATCAAAGATTGATTTAGAAAGCATTTCTTTGGCAACATCCCCCCCCCCCCACACACACACACTTTTTACAACTTTTTTTGTGGACCTCCAAAAAGAGCTAGGTTTGGCACCTCCACCCCCTTCCCCCCCCCCCCCTTTCTACAAAGAATGAAGGTGACACTGTTATTGGCTTAGCCTACAAAGAATGAAGGTGACACTGTTATTGGCTTAGCCTACAAAGAATGAGGGTGACACTGTTATTGGCTTAGCCTACAAAGAATGAGGGAGCCACTGTTATTGGCTTAGCCTACAAAGAATGAGCGAGCCACTGCTATTGGCTTAGCCTACAAAGAATGAGGGTGCCACTGTTATTGGCTTAGCCTACAAAGAATGAGGGTGACACTGCTATTGGCTTGGCCTACAAAGAATGAGGGAGCCACATTTTGCTATTAGCTGGGCCTACCTTAAATGCTAATCCTGCTTCTCTACATGGGATGTGCTCATCTGTGGCCGGGTCAAAAGAAAACAAGCAACGAACTTTCAACTGAAATATTTTTCAAAAATTAATTTAATAACTTAGTCAAACAACAATATAAAATTCTGAATTTGTACAAAATCAATCAGTTTATTTTTCTACTTGCTCCTGTTTTTTTATTATAACTTTAGGGGTCCTTGAGGAGTGAATTCAAATTTTTTAAATATCCTAATTTCTTGACATTAAGCCAACACTTCTCATTTATGTGTAGGTATTTAAAAAATGAAATTACTCTTTCTTTCCTGGGAAAGTTTATTTGAAATTTTTTAAGCTCGTTATAGAAATCAATGTCATGTTTGATCTCGATAAGATTATTTACAAGCTATTGTTTATATAATTTGAGGAGAAAAAAAAAAAAAAGAAATTAGCCTTCCATTCAAATTTTAACAAATTGAGAAAATATTATTCATTTTTAGGACCTAGCGATCTTTTCAAACACTGATCGATAATTATCATNCTAGGTTTGGCACCTCCACCCCCTTCCCCCCCCCCCCCCTTTCCAACTGGCAGTTTTTACAAGTTTCTTGTGGCTACGTTTGACAACCCCAAGCCCAATGCTTAGCTAGACAATTGGGAGGGGGGGGGGTTGTGGTGGGGTGGAAAGTAAACAATAATTTTGAATATTAAAAAAAAAAAATATTTTATAATGCAAATATACATAGGCCAACAACTCATGGTTAATGAAGTTAATACATTTTTTAAAGAAAAATGATCTAGTTGATCACATATTATTATATTTACACATAAATTTTAATTGCACAAGTACCCAGAGGATGTAAATATAAGATTTTGGGGGTCAATATAATATTTTCGAAAAAGGTTTGCAAAGTAATTGTTTACCTCAATGATTTTGTTTTTTCTTGTTTTTTTGTTTTTTTTAATTATAAAATGTAGAACGAAGGGAAGGGGGGGGGGGTTAAATTTAGTTAAGTGCATCAAACATAGTTGTACCGTCATCAAAATCTTTAAAAAATTTGTCATGAATACTGGCAATAGCAGTGAATTTCCCCTACAAGCAGAATTGACCATAGAAAATATACCATTCATAGTTATAAATCATTTCCTCCTGTTTGATGTTATTATTTTTTTGTGTTTGAATTCCTTAAATTTTTTTTTTTTTTTTTTTACAAACGGTTCTTTTTGAAAATGATATGGTATGGACAAGACAACTGTTTACAGAAGAAGAGGCTTAAGTGTTCATTTTGATGTTAGTAATGACAACAAATGAATGGATGGCCAAAATTTTTTTTTTTTCAAGTTGTGAGCAACTGGCATAGAAATGTCACTATATAATTAAGAACCCTTTCTGAAACAATTATAATGGTTAGTGACAGCAATAAAAGAAGTAAAAAATATCTTATTTCAGATTTTTTTGCGGACAAAAGAACCAAAATGCAAAAAGTTGATACCTAGAAATATTGCAGCTGCAGTGATGGATATAGGATATCAAGATCCATGGCCAGCGCTAGAACGTGGCCAATTGGACAACAGCACAAGGACCGTGCTTGCAGCGACCCTGCGCATATCCCTTTTAATATTTTATTATTAACATAGCCAGGCTCTGCCTATTCATAGTTTGTAATTTTAAGTCTACACAATGTTCGGATGCACACAATATTAAAATGATCAGTCTGTCCTTTTCCTCATACCAGCCTTAAAATTCCATTGTGCGAAGAACCAAATGTCAATAGTAAAGCTGCTTGTCTTGCAAACTACACGATGGGGATTTTAAAAAAAATTTCTTGCTATGTTCAGATGGTATGATGTCCTGTTTGCCGTCAACACTGTCAGCAAATCTTGCAGACACTTAATGTTTTGAAAGCTTCATTGTTGCATTATTAAATCAGTGTACGGTTCAAAACTCCTGTTTTCCTAAAGCTAATAAAAACTAAACTCAATTAGTCACAATAAAAAGTGTAAACCCAATCAGTCGCAATAGAAAACTAAACTCAATCAGTCACAGTAAAAAAACTAAACTCAATCAGTCACAATAAAAAAACTAAACCCAATCAGTCAAAATAAAAAAAATAAACCCAATCATTCACAATAAAAAGTATTAAGTACAGGAAATACTAAAATGACTAAGTGAAAAAGAAATAGAAACAAATATATAATGCTTGAATTAAAGTGCCCAAACTACTTCAAGACTTTAATAAAAGGGGAAAGGGGAAGGGTGGTGTTTCAAATGATTTCTCTAAATAATTATGGTTCATGTGTCCTTAATACTTGTGATCTTAGGAGAGAAAAAAAATGAGGCTGACACAGACACATGCACCAGACTGGCAGGAGAAACCAAGAAGAAGTGTTCATGGCATGAAGATGTAAAAACAATGTGCCTTCGAGAAACGGTGCTACACTTTTAGAATAGGGATTCAGGCAAGAAATGACTGAGAGTGATATTAAAAACTTATGTGATGGCCGGCATGGAAAGAAAATGGACCAATGCAAGAAATGGCAAGGGAGTAGGTGTACTCACAATTACAGGAAACCCCGACCAATCTGGCCAACGTTCCAACAGTTTTACATTGCTCCAACTGCCAACAGTACGGCCAATCAAGTACATGCAAAAAGAAAGCAACAGGGTTCTGTCCATTTAAATTTACAATGAAATTTTGAATTTTCATTTAATTTTTCTTAAACATACAACCTATTATCCCCTAAGTTTAGATGGGAATTAACAGAAAAGAAAACTAAATGCAATAAAAAATTTAAGAACTGTTATAAAGTTTTCAATAAGATGTTAGGAAAGTATTTTTTTTTTCCTTCGGTTGTAGGTAAACTAAGGGAAGTGATTCAGAACTAAAGTTAAGAGTCAATGCCTGTAACTGAGTTAAGGGTCTCTCACACAAAACTCATCTGATCCAAAGAAACTAACATGAAAATATGTCTCCCAGCCTGTAAACTAGGATAAATATTTTATTGAATAAATTTCTTGACGGAAAAAAGGCAGATCTTAAATGGGATCATCTGATTACTCGCAAATATGAAGGAATAAGCAGGTTATCCATTGTAATTAATTGTTTTCGTTAAAACGTGATCAAATTATAGTGATATTTTTATATCACAGCATAATATAGCTTGCTGAAGTAGAGTTGTGAGATTTATTTGATTAGCAATCTGTTTAGTTTCTATAAATTTCATAAAGTTTGCATAAGCAGACATCTGTTCCTCAGCCTCATACATAAGCAAAATCCCCACATCTTACTACTTTCTTCATTGCTAACAGATAGAATAGCCTAAGTCTGAATTCTGGCCCCTTGTACATGTCAGCGTATGTGCACTGAAAGTGTATGAATAATTTGCAACAAAAGAGAATGCTCAAATGCTTTTAGCAGGAAAGGACAAAAATAAGGGTTATAAATTGAGATTTCACTCCCTAGCACAAGACTTTGATACTTCCATCTTCCTGAATTTTGATACACATTTCTTTTGTCACACAACAAGGCATAATCTTAGGAGGGGCAAGTAACACAATGTTATAGCTACTGCCATTCAGTTTTATCCCATCTATTTCGATACATACCTTAAATACCATTTGCATAACAACAAACACTTTTGATTGGTTAACTAAAGTCTGAATGATCTAAAAAGTTACAGGACACAAAATTATAATTTTAAAAAAAAAGAAAACAAAAAAAGAAAAAAAAAAGAAAAAAAGGAAAGCAAATAGGTTTACAAAATTATTTCAATTATCAATTTTTCTTACATACAAAAATGCTGAATGTTTCAGTTGCTTTTTTTTTTAATCTACATTAATTTTAAGCCAAAAAATTTTTAGTATTGATAACTTATTTTATTCATTCTACGTTCCAAAAATATCCCTTGACAGGTGAAAAAAGAAAAGAAAATCGGAAAAGGTTTTTGAAACTTTTTTTTACCGTCAAAAGCTTTGACAGTTATAAGAATGAAGGAGAGTTATCACCAAAAAGGCAGGGTGTCTAAGTTTTTATAACTAAATACATTTAATCAGGTTGACTCCAGTGATTCTCAACCTTCCTAGAGCCGCGACCCTTTAATATAGCTTCTCATGTTGTGGCGATCCCCCAAACACAAAATTATGTTCATTGCAGCAATCATAACTGTAGAGGATATTTGTTTTCCGATGGTCATAGGCGACCCCTGTGAAAGAATCTTTCGACCCCAAAGGGGTCGTGACCCACAGTTTGAGAACCGCTGTGTTAGACAGCAAGCAATAAATAAATGTTTCCGTAATTGTCTTATTTCTTAAGTCTTTCATCAAAGAATATTACTGGTGGTTGAGAGATTATTATGAAATTGACAGAATAAATATTTACCCTAAAGCCTAAAATTCTTAGTACATAACATGCACATTGAAATGATAAAGCTTTAGATAATCACCAGAAAAAAATTTTTATTGATTTTTTTCCCCCTAAATATAACAAAACAATCAAATGGAGAACTTCAGCAGAAACTGAAATATTTAATTAATGAATACCTATTTAAAATTCTCTTAAGTAATGTAGGTTAGATAAATAAAAAAAAAATGAAATAAATTAACTTCATGTTAAAAGTTGATTTATTCCAAATTTATTTTTGTTTAACCTGCATATCAAAAACAGTTTACTTATGTGTGCAGACATTCCTCAGAGTAAAAACAAAGCTTATGTCCAAATTTTAAAAAAATAATTTTGACCACATTTTCATGTTAAATTATTTTAAAGACTCAACAGTTGGAGTGCAATCTAGAAAATTAAGGAACTTATTTTCAACAGTCACATTAAAAAGATTGAAATACCATTCTTATAGTAGAGTCCTTAGCTTCGTAACAGTTAATGGGCTATCTTCACCTCCTGAAGCAGAACATAATAGTTGTGGGGGTAATAGTAATTGTGCCCTCTTAACAAAAATCTTTTTGTAAAATAAATGTATGCTAATAAATACTACTCAAGCAGGTATTGTAAACCATATTGTTATGCTAAATAAAATGACATTTGAGTATTCTATTGGCTAGAACTTGGTTCCATCAGAACAGAAGTACCAAAAGTCACTGCTGGATATTAAATTTTTTTAAAATTATGGCATTTGAAACATTTTTTAACAGTCCCACATTTAAAACCAGTCAAACAAAAATTGTTTTCACCTGTTTCTTTTAGGGGATTAAGCTAGTAAAAAAAACGGAACATCTAGATGCACTCTAACAAAACTGGCTAACATGAGCTCTCAGCTTCTCATGTAAACTCTGTCCAAAAAGATCTTGGACATGCTCTCTTCTTAACAAAATTTTTTTGGTCAGTCCAAATAATTATTTCACAAAATTTTCTGTCAACCACACCAACTTTGAATAATTTGACTAGTCTTAAACTCCCAACAAAATTAACAATACATTAAAAAAAAATTAAATAATTGATTTCTCATTTATTTATTTAATTGAGTAGAGAAATGTATCACTTAGAAAATAAACTTGCAGCTTGTTAACATAAGCCAATCTCTATGGTTTACCTGCACTTGGTATGGTTTTTATATGTTTGTCAAGTCGTACGATGTTTCACTGGATTTAGAGAATAAATATTTGTCCAAAAGACAGACACCATCAAAACTGGTGGTGCAATAAATTCAATGTCAGACAACAAGAAACTCAAGTCCTATTGGTCCATTCAAAAAGACCAAGTGGAGAATTTGTAGACCATCTAACTTTAGAAACTCAAGTCCTATTGGTCCATTCAAAAAGACCAAGTGGAGAATTTGTAGACCATCTAACTTTAGAAACTCAAGTCCTATTGGTCCATTCAAAAAGACCAAGTGGAGAATTTGTAGACCATCTAACTTTAGAAACTGAGTGGGGTTCGGAAGGTATCATTCTCTTAGCGTAGTATGGCAGTAACTACTTTTTTTGAGTAGTAAACCATACTTGCGAATCGGTTTGTATAATTCTTAACAAGAACTGTGTTAGCAAGTGTTCTTTTAATTTCTACTAAATAAATTTAATATTACAAACAATGCCTAGCAATGGTCATTATTCCTGGTTTCCTACCACATGAATTAATTTAACTTGTTAACGCTTTCTAAAACTAAAAGTATTGTATCAGTATACGTTGTTCACAGCCAAAGCAGTGAGAATTGTTGGCAATCTTATATTATACTATTTTTTATTTAAACTTCTAATTAACATTTTATATCCACCTAGCGCATAGAGTTAACAAAAAAACAATAAACTTCTATCCACATTTTCCTCCCGTATGGTGAAAAATGAGGTTATAAGTTGATGGTAGCTTGAACTCAATAGCATTATTTATTTTACTTTGTTAATTTTAATACAGGTATCTGTATTATTACTAATTTGCTAATCAAATTCATCATACGAGTCCATTTTTAACAAAATTTTGTATCAAATTGACCAGCGTCAAATTTTTTGAAAATCAGACTTAAAATGAGCTATTTTCATTTAAAAGATGCGATTGATTCTTTTATGAATAATGTAAACATCTTAAAAGGGGTAGGGGAGATTATTCATTTTTTATTCATGCATTCAAAACACTGATCTAAACAGATGAACAATTTTTTTTTTTTCTAGTTTTTCATGCTGTTGTACAGTTTTTTGGGGACTTTTTTGTAAAGTTTTTGATCTCACAGGATTGCCATGTACGCTTATTACATGCAGGAATATGTTAATGGATAAATATGTTCAAATGCTAATGTCTACCCGTTCTTAAATCCCTTTTCACTACATCCCTTGAAAGTCCACCTCACACCCCTTGTGGTTGCCACAACCCCATGTTGGGAAATGCTGCTCTATACGGATTTTTTGGGGGGAATTTTTAGAATAATCTCCCCCTCCTAATCCAACAGACTGTAATCCTATACATTAAGGTGGGTCCCCAATATTTGTTAGTCAAAAGTATGTACTCACCACTCCTGTGGGCTGCCCCACCATGCAATATTCTAGCAATCTCAACACATCCTGTGCGTTCATTCAGGTATATAGTAGCACCCTGTCAATTAAACATTTTAACATATTTGACATTTTCTAGTCAGAGAGGTTGATGTTATGCAAATTCTAAGCATTCCTTATCTATTTTATCTACATGCAAAGGAAAAAAAGGAGACATTATAAAGAACATACCAGTGGTTCGTTGTTTTTTATCAGTCTAACAATTTTGATGATTGTCTCATCTGCTCCAGCCCCTGAAGGCACTGGGTCTATTCTTGGTTCATAATCCTCACATGCTATTTTGTCATGGCTGAATAAAAGAGCCTGTGTACAACAAAGAACTGTTATGAAATCTATAAATGCAGTTCTAAAATATCTCAGGCATCTTATATGCCGACAGGGGATTCCCTAGAAATATCATGTTTGCTAGATGCTCATGAAATTAATTTTTTTTTCAATTTTTTCCTAAGCCTGCACTCTTTCATTTTTCTACCAAACTTTACTACAGTTCTTTTTATGAAAGCATTTTATATTTAGTCCAGGAAATATATTTATTATTTTCTTTTATCTAGACGTTATCCAACAAACCTGCATATGAGGTTTTGATAAAATTCCAAGAAGTTCATGGACTATGGGGTCCTCTATTCTGTATCTAATTTCACAGTATACCTCAAAAAATAGAAAAATATATTAGCATGTTAGCTTTGACATATTATTGATGGGCTCATAGACAAATATGCAAATGTAAATAAAAAGTGTAAGATTAAGACATATAATTTATGATTGTACAGTTGCGTGTATCTAAAGAGAGAGTTTGAGATGAGAATATGGAAGTATGGATATGGAATTATATAAATAAGATGTGCTGAAAATTACTGTGAGAATGGATAAGAAAAATAGGTGGAAATAGAATGAAGACATTGGGGATCAGAAGTTTGAATGAAGTTAGACAATTCAAGCAACATGGTGTTATCTAGCCTAAGCCATATCATGAAGTCAAAATAATCAAAATTGCTCTATTAAAATGGTGTTAATTCCCTTTAAAATGGTGATTGGTTAACAAATGTTCGTTGTTCCTGGTAAATCATTGTGCTATCTAATATGATTGTTGTGCTTTGTCTTCCAGTGAAATTGTAGCAATAATTACAGTATCTTTTACAGATGATAACTACACAACTATCTTTATCAATAAAATGAAAAAATTATGTCAAGTTTATGTAGGAGAGCTATTCTTTTTAGGGGAAATTCATCAAATAGAAAGTTGGAGCTTATTTCTTTAAACATAAATTGCTATTTATTCCCCCTTTTTAAATAATAAAAATGCAAAAACTTAACAAGGAAAGCAAAGGTAAAATTCATTTTCAACAACTGATTTTTTTTATAGTAATTTAGATCAGGGAAAGTTATAAATTTTGGTTTAAAATTTGGAAATGAAAGTCATTTCATGCAGCACCTACATCTGCTGCCTGCGATACTGCAAAATCTGCTGCTGGTTTTTTGCTGCCTTGTTGTGATCTGAATTGCCGATAAATCTGAAATATACATTTTTGTCATTTTTTAATACTGCTTGAAAATGCATTCTTGCCAGACTATTTTGAGACAAGAATTAAGAATCCATGTATAGTTTCTATAGGCCTGAAATTTTAATCAGTATCTTTTATTTTTAATGTGTTTATTGGAATAGAAATAAAGCAGCACCAATGTAACCTTGGGTGACCCTTAGATGGTGACAGAGGTGCAACCAAACGGCATCCTCTTAGAGTTTGCACCCAAAAAAAAACAGTTGTTTGAAAAATTGCATGTCAGCCATTGGAAGATTTTTAGAAAAACTGCTAGGCCACCAACAAAACTAAATTAAATGTTTAGGTAATATGTATACTAAAATTGATGTGTTAATAATTACATCTTGGTTGGTTGTTTTTTGTTTTTTTTCCAGATTATAACAAGCAATAAATCCAAAATTATTTCCTAGTTTAAAATAGTATGTTTACCAGGTCATCAGTTCAGTATATTACATGAGTTTAAGGTAGCAAATTAAATTTGGATCACTATGGTTTTTTGTGGGGAAACTAAATAAGAGTAGCATATGATATCTAAGTAGAAATTAAATGTTTTGTCTTTAAATATCTAGAAGAAAAAGATCTGAGATGCCTTGTGATATAGTGGACTAGCGGACTAAACCGTCCTGATAGTCAACTAGGTCAAACAGCGCGCAGAGACTGTATTTAGATTGTGTGAATGAACAGTGTGTTCCGGAATCAAGCATAGAGTCAACATTATTGAGAACTTGTAATTTATGTATATTTATGTTAATGTTTGTTGTTGGAAATGAAAAAAAAATGTAAACATAACACCTAGAAAAATATTATAGGAGCTTTCAAATAGGCCTATGTACTGATTCAATTATAAGGAATAATAAACAAGAAAATTAATTTAATCTGTAATTTAAAAAAAAAACTTTTTATATTTAATTATAGTGACAATCAATAATGATTTGCCCCCATTTTTTTTAAAGTTGGGTGCAAATAGTTAGAAAAAAGATTAATACAAAATAAATATTAGGGAGGTTTACCCTGAGAATAAGATGTAAATTCCTATTACGCAAAAATCTCCGCAAGTAATGAATCTCAGGCTCCTTGTTTGGGAGTCTCGATTCAAGAGTAGGTAATGCAACCAACAACTTCTGAGCATCTGCAGAATGGACACCAAGAATTTATAAAACATTTAATAGAATTCATTTGGTTCTAAATTATTCTCTGAAACTTACAACAACAACAAAAATGTTATTCTTTTAAAACAAATGTAACCTGTTTCTGTGTTTACAAATGGAAGAAGAAAAAAAATTGGTGAGTGTTCTTTTTTTTTAAATAGTAAATAAATTACCTGTAATCTCATCTATTTTAAAATAAGTAATAACTGGAAAATAACTGTATTTACTTTTATTTGAGGAAAAACTAAATGCACTTAACTAACAAAAATTAAAACATGCTTTCTAATGGATCCATTTTTAAGTTTTAAGTAAGGAAAAAGTGAAGAAAAGTATTTTTTTTAAAAAGATCTGATTGTTGTTACCTGTGTCTATTTTTACATGAGGAAAAAGTGGTAAGTTGACGGGCATGGTCTCCCTTATCAATTTTTCCTCTTGCACCCTTACATCTCACTTCCATACTAGAAGTAACTCTGTCAGCTTACATCTTCACCTGAGGAAAGCAAATAAGTGGGAAAAGAAATTAGTTCTATCATTCATTAAATATTTAAATATTTTAAGATTGGTGCCAGCAAAAAAAATTGAGGTGGGTAACTTTGGGTATATCATTGTTAACTAAAATATTAATATTTCTGTAAAAACAAACATTTTTTTCTCAATCCAACATTAACAGCAGTAACTACAAAATTATATTAATATTATCTTTACAGCATGATCAAATTAAATAATTGCTAACTCCCTAACCCACTTTAAAAGTTGAAATAATTATAGGACTATGAAGAAAATTTACATTTTAAAATGATTGCCCATATTTGATACCTGCCAACCACTTATTAATTACAAAATAGGCCATTATGATATAGTAATGGACAGGTCCTGTAAAGTAATGTTTTAAACATTTAACATCAAATGCAGCATTATTATAAAAGATGTGACACAATTGGTATTTCCCGATGATGTTTGATTAATGTGTCTAATTTGAGTTACAAATTTGTGACTGAGGGAGGGGGGGAGAGGTTAGGCAAAATTTGTGGGAGTTTATTTATAATGGATGGCACTTTACTACAACAAGATTAGCATTAAATAAAATCATTCTGCTATATAATATCATTTGAAGAAATATTTCATTTGTTCCACAATTTCACATATTTTGATGACAAGGTGAGTTTTTAGTGTTATTCAGAATTGCTCTTCCCCACTGGGGAGGGGGGGGGGCAGTTTGCTTTTAAAAAAAGGGGGGGGACCACTTTGCTTGGGGGGGGGGGCGGTTTACTTTTAAGCCTTGAGAAATCATGGGAGGGGGAAGATAGTGAAATGAGGGGGGGGGGGGAGGAAATGAGGGGTTGTTGAAAGGTTATTTTTTTAATAATTTCTTTATTAAATAATATAGATGGAAGTTATGCCAATTTAGGCCTAAACTCTGGTTGTGTGTAGCTAGGGTTGCTGTCACTTAGGCAGCCTAAGCTAAGGCCAAGTGTTTTGATGTCTTCCTTCCACGAAAATAACAGCAGTTGGCTGAAAATGCCATTTCTCATTGTGAAAGAAATAAGTGTTGCCCCAGAGTGGAACGACTCCACAGCACCCCCTTCCTACGCCACTGCCTAAAATGTTTTTATCCTAGACATTCAATTTTTATAAATAGGGCATCTTATTAAAATTAACGCATTTCCGTAGCCGTAGATGTAAATTGTAGCTAGACCGGGTTCCTAGGACAGGGACCGTTTTCGTTTTTTTCCTTTTTTTTTTTGGGGGGGGGGGGGGCGATGCTTGGCTTAAGTTTTAAAGGCCTACATTAAAATTGCACGAAATGCATAAAACTGATAAGATATTATAATGATTAACAATCTTAAATGAAATGGTAGCCTAACCTGATAAATGATGATGCATAAATAAAGTTAGAGTGTAATAATACTATTAATACTAATAATAAATGGACGCTAGACTATTGTCATTGAATCACACACGACGTGCAATATTGACTGCCATGCTTCCTCTAGTATAGATCACACGCCAGTATGATGTATTATAATTAATAACAATATTGTTCTTACCACTGTGTTAACTTCTAGTAAAACACAAAATTTCCGTCCCAACGTTTCTCCTTCATCCACCCCGTCCTATACTGTCGCTTACCCAGTGTCACCGGGCCAGGAAGCGTGCTCCTCTCAGCTCATCTCGACCGGCGACACACATGCTACAACACAGGCATAATATCGACTGGCACAATTTCTCACTCATTTGAGACGTCGCTGTCTTTTTTTTTTTCTTTCTTTCCTCTGGAATCGACACTACGATCGACCTTTTCCATCCAATGAGAATTGAGTGTGTTTTTTTTCTTCAGTTTCCTAGGCGACCACGCAGTCTGTTAGTTCACCACGGGAAGAGACGAGAGGGTTTTGGAACGATTTTATCGATTATTAGCGTTAAGCGTAGAAATGCGAAATAGAGGCGAATTACAAAATGGGGTGAACATTGTTAGTCAGTCAATTGCTAGTGGTTTTTAAACTACATGTCAAAATGTCTGCAAAAAGAGGGGTGTTAGTGCGTCAAGGGGATGTAGGCCCCTGGCCCTGGATCCCATAATTAGGGGGCGGCAAAAAGAATAAACGTATGCATTTATTTATTTTTGGAGGCCAATGGTACAATAAATGAGTGGTACAGTACATGAATGGTACAGCTAACGAATGGCACAGTGAATATATGGTGCAGTAAATGAGTAATTTGGCTCGAAAGTGGGTGACAGATGAAGATAATTACAGTAGGAGAGTGTGTGCAGGGGGGCTTGGGGGGGGCACAGTCTGCAGCGGTCGACACCCTCATAAAAAAAAAGGGGGGCGGGGGTGACACTCAGGATTGCCAACTAAGTAAAATTAAATTTACGGACAAATGTTCTAAATCTCAACAATTTTTATGGACCAATAGGCAATAGCATTTTTCAAGGACACGTTTTAAGGAAACATTTTCAAGTACACTTTTTCAATGAGACATTTAGACGTACACATTTTCAAGGACGTATTTTCAAGGTCACATTTTAGTGACACATTTTAAATGACACATTTTCAAGGACACATTTTAAGGACACGTTTTTTAAAGTCATGTTTTTGATCAATGAAGCTAAAAAATAATAAAATAGCTGTACGAATAGTGTTTCGTAGAAATCCTTGATATGCATATTTTAATTATTTTATTTTATATTAATATTCTAATGTCCCAGCCACTTTTAAACCGCAGATTTATTTTATCAACTATTTCAGAAAAACAAAAGAATATATTACGCACCAGAAGCACTGAAAATTTGATAGGATGTGTGTTATTGTGATGTATGCCAAGTTTTAGCTCGATAGGTCTTCGGAAAGTGGGACGTTAGCCTTTGGAAGATGTTGCCCTATACACACGAAAGGAAAGTTAATGTAAAGGTTTTTTTTTTTTAAATTTAAAGCAAAGTAGAGAAATCAATTATATTATATTATATGTAATATATATATATATATATATATAT